TATATATATATGTATATATCTATATATATATATATATATATATGGATACATATTTGTATACATATGCGTACATATGTGTATATGTGTGTATATATATGTGTATATATATGTATGTATATATGTGTATATATATATGTACGTATATATACGTATATATATGTAGGCCTATATGTGGAAAAGACAAACCAAACCAGTCACTCGTCGCAAATTCTGTTTCGAGAATATAGACCTCTGGGTGCCCGGAAATTTCACTCTTAATGTACCTTAAAAATCTTACCAATAATTCATATCAACAATATAATACAACAATTATTTTTCTTAATACAATTTAGGGGGTTGCGATCGCAACCTCTGCACCCCCCTCCCCCCCCCTTGTATCCGCCCCAGGATTATGTCACGCAATTGGCAAGGTCTTTGGACTCATTGCTGGTATCTCGTCAATGCTTTTTCATTTATGTCATTGTGAAAAGGCCCTAGCAAAAAATATCTTTGGAAAAAATGTGGACCTTTGAAAATTTGTGGGGGTGGGGGTCGTACGACCCTCCCGACCCCCTTGCATAAACCCATGCAACCTTGTATTGGGCCAGCCTACTAATAATAGATAGAACAGAGAGGAAAAGGGAAAATTAAAGGAACCATAAGGATGGTAAACATCGATAAAAACCCGGTTGCCGTCTCAACTTTCACTGTCCTTTGGTTGAATGTTTGTAAGAAATGTACCAACCGTTAACGAAACTGGTCGCCGTCTACCTAGAGTAAATGGTGCCACCGAACGAAGCTAAAGTTTTGCGACTTAATCCACCAAATGCAGATAAAGTTTTGCGACTTAATCACCTGATGTGTGGTTAGTAAATTCCCGGCTGTTCATAGCGCACACTAAACTATGTACTGATGGAGCATTTTGGGGATATTGACTCTTCTTTTCCCATCCCAAACAAAATATTATTAATAAATCAACATGGTCCATCTCAGTCATCATAGCCAGTCACAAAATTAGGCTAGGAAGTTTGTTTTCGACAGCAGACACACCGTGACACACACTACACCAACGGAGTGCGTCAAAACGAGTGTTTGTTAATTTTTAGTGATAAAGAATCATGAAACGTCATAGAACAACTGACTTTTTTCGTCCGCTGTTGCAAAAAAGAAAACGACAGATTATTTAAAGTGGGTTATTGATTTTAAAATCAATTAGCCTAGCCTAGATGTTGACTAGCTAGGTTCGCTCCTCGTGCATTTAGAAACAGAATTATACCCCGACGACAACAAACTAGTGTAGGCCTAGGCCTAAGTACAGTAGGACGTACTACAGGTACTAGGCCTAGGCTTTTCTTGTAAAAGTTGAAGTGCATTTACAAAATGCGCCAAAAAAAAAAATTGTTAATTATTATTGGTTGGCCTGGGACCTGGGCAGGCATTCTAGCTTTACCGTCGAAAGTCCTGGAATTCGACGATGACGTCAGTGCACGTTTACAAACGCCATTAATTAGAATGCAAATAGCCGCGCTGAATTTCGTGTTTTTTTTTTTATGAAAGATAGAATTTATCGAACATTTATCTATATAATAACAAGATTAATATTGTAGAAAAGTTTTTACCATTGTTTAGTTAGGTTTGTAGTTAAGATAAAAGTTGTGACATCCCCGAAACCTTGACTCAGAAATACCGGGATGGTGTCCGGCGGGGGATAGTTTCTACCATTTTTATCTATTTAAGTAATTATACAGTATTTGTCCTACCTGTTAATCCCGGCCCCGAAACCTTGACTCAGAAATTCCGGGTTGGTGTCCGGCGGGGGATAGTTTTTACCATATTGTAGTTAAGTTGTAGTTAAGCATCACCTTGAGCTGTAATTCCTGGCCCCGAAACCTTGACTCAGAAGTACTGGGTTGGTGTCCGGCGGGGGATAGTTTTCCACCAAAGTTTTAACTGTTGTTTATTTTGTTGTACTGTGATGGTTATTTTTGTTGTTGTTATTGTAATATGTGTTTGCAGG